CAAACCTTGTGGGTATGAGGTGTTGTCAACCCTTATCGACACGGCCCGACGAGAAGCTGGAGAGGGCGCACTCATCCTAGGCGTCATCGAAAAAGTATCCGAATTTGTGGTGAAGCGCGTACCCGAAGAAGAACAGTCTTCTTGCCTCCCATATGCGAGCATATTGCTCCGCAATCTTCCTAAGCAGATGAGTCGCAAACTACTAGATCAGGGCCGACAAAACCTGTGGCCTTCAAATCAATTCACTGGACGTAATGCAGATTTCGATCCCTACGTTCATCTATATGGAGCCGTTGCCGCCGTCAGCACGGCTGCATACCGGGATCTCGACAGAGACGATGTTGAGTCAAGGAAGGACTTCCTATCTGCTCTAGCCATGTCAATCCAGCACTGCCCAACCTCTCAACTTGCCGTGTATCTCCGCAAGACGCAAGACTGGATTACAGTTTGGATTGAAGACCCTGAAGAAAAGATGCAGAGCAGAGACGAACCGCTGAAGAATCTTCACCGTGAGGTTGTCAGAATGTGGCAAGAAGTGAGCAAGGCTATTGAAAGGTTACCAAGGAAGGATAGCCAGACTTTGCTCCACCTGGAAACTTTGATCACTGCAGGCTTTGTTAGTAGGCGACGAAGTATCGTCAACATCTCCATCGAGACCTGGAACAGCACTTTTGGAAAAGAGGATAGTCTACAATATCCTGCTAATCTTGAACAAGCTTTGCGTCGTCTACGTGGCAGTGTGGATCTTTCGTTGCCCTCATTGGAAGTTCGAAAGGAGGATGCCGTAGGTGCCCATCTGATGTTCAACGTACTCCAGCTAACCTCGGAACAGACACATCAGCCTTCATTCTATGAGTCTGACACCAGCACTGATGATATCAAACGACCGTTCAAGAGTCCCCGGGTGAAGGACTCACCTTTCAAAATCTCAAAATCAACACGAAGGCCAGCGTCAAGATCTCCAGCAGTTCCAAAGTCAGCGTCGAGAAGGACGCCTGCAAGGGGCACACCCAAAGCTCGTCTGCGACATGATAACTCGCAGATCCAGTTCGAACCCATCGTTTCATCGCCGTCAAATCCATTTGACCAAGAGTCTCAACTATTGACCGAGCACCAAAAGGAGATGGTTGATCGCCAGAGACACTCGACTGGCTTATTCGCGAACATCAGTGCTCTCTCACCTCGACCGGACGAAGTGCCCTTGCCTATGGAGATTGACTCAGATGCATTGACTGCGGATGATTTGCCAGACCACAGTGTTCAAGCCACTCCACTGAAGACTCTTGCAGCGATGGGACCGATGGACGCCTATCTCGGATACTCGCCTACCCCACATACCCGCAAGAGCATTCAAAATGTCGTCAGTGAGGATACAGATGTAGCAACACCCACTGCCGTAAGGAGCATTCGGTACGCTGCGGATGACGAACCAAGGTCTTCACCGCCTGGCTTCCGTAAAACAACACAGTTGGAGGTCGACACAAACAATAGTGCTGTTCTCGTTGGATCCAGTTTCGAATACCGACAGCCAGAGAGTACCTTTTCTACCTCTTTCGACGAAGGAACCACCATTGACGAGGAAGCTTTACTTGAAGCCGTGGCCCATCACGAAAATCCGCAAGCAAACGCAGGTCTCGCTTCGGACAGTATAATGTCTGAGTATCCTAGCTCAACCATAGACCTTGAACTGACTGCTCAAATCGACGCTGACATGCAAGCACACGATGAGCCTGCGACAGATGGAACAGAGGTACCAGCGTCCGAGTCCCAGAATGACTTTGTAGACGCTGCCTCCCATCAGCAGCTGTCTATCAGAGATGGTGACCGAGTCGGCAGTTATGCTGAGGTGGAAAACACACAAACGCCTACTCGCGCTTCCACCCGGCGTACTTCACGTAAAAGTTCCCAAGCCGAAACAACCAGCACAAATAAAGTGGACGACTCTTTTGCTGTACCTTCTTCACAAGACACACCCAACTCGCTCCGCCGCTCTACCAGGCACTCTTCTGGTATTCCTCCTCTCCCTCCAAGCACAAAGAAACCCCGACATCCCCCTGGAAGGAAAGAGAGCAAAGCACAGAAGGCCCCAGCAGAAGCTCAAGACGAAAAGTTGCAAAAGCAGGATTCAGTGGAGCCCAACGGTACAAATATGCTCGACAACATTGTTGTGGCCGCTTCTCCAACACCCAAGAAGACGCGCGGAAGGAAACGCAAGTCGATGAGCAGCAACGCCATGTCTGATGCCGACGTAGCATCTCCTCAAAGCAATCGCAAAATGAACCTGCGCCGATCGCACTCGACTCTGAACCAGGTCGAAAACTCACAGGACATGGCGGTAGTCGAGACACCAGCACCCAAGCGAGCAAGGCGGAATGACCATCAAGATGTCAGTGAAGCCAAGGAGGAGATACCATCTAGCCAGACGAAACGTTTGAGCCACATCCAAGTCTCGCCACGCCCGCAGTCACGCTCTTCCAATCAGACCTCACCGACGGCCGATCACTCTATCGAGGCATCCATGGACCACTCCGCCGCCGACACTACCGTAGCTACAATCCAGCCACAGCCCTCATCCCCACTTGAACCCGAAACATCACGCCATCTCACACGCTCGTCTTCGCAGCAAGCTGCCCAACTTAAGACCCCTTCGCGCTCTTTTGCCGAACGTGTCATCCTCACCCCACGCAGCATCATCAACCAGCTCAAGAGCCTCAAAGACTACATCTTTAGCACCCCGCAGCTTGTCTTTAGCAGGGAGGAAGAGAGGGAAGTTAGCGATGCGGTGTTTCACATCCAGAGGGGCGTGTTCACCGCGGGGTTGAAGGCAGGTGGGGAGTTGGAGTATGAATCATCTGAGCGGCAGTTAGAACAGTGATGACAAATACTTAAAGAAGAAAAAAAGTGACGACCAGGATTTGAGAAAAGTTCAGTGATTTGACAAGTGTATCGAAGAGAATTGGCATAAAAAAGACTCTGATGTTTGGTTGGCGTTGTCCATGGAAGTGGATAAATATTTGATATGAGTAGTAGGAATACCACTGTAATGTTGAATATATGAATCGAAATGATGCTTGTAGTGTGCCGGTGCACAGTGTTATCTTCTACTTCCACAGAGCTTGCACTGTGCTGTCTTATTCTAGCCCGAGAGACAACGGATTCCTTTCAGTCCCAGGTGATACTTTGTCTAGAGATTCTACTAAACAGGAGCAATTGGAATCCGTTAAGCTTATTTTAGATGGTATAAGATGGCGGTTTCAGATGCAGGAGCGCTTTATACTGGTGTGGCATGAGATGGTTAAACATAGGTTTTTATCGATGGAGTGCATCATGAGGATCGATCTTCGCAGCGCCATGAGCTCAGATACACTCCGCGCTCTTAATAGCGTAATCCAACGTTTCGAGTACATGCAGGACTTGATTAACGGTCCTAGGGGCAGGAGCGAACGCATTCCTAAAGGTTCTCTGCGAGGTTATTTCGAACACCCAACGCATTGGCTTACCACACTTATCGCACGCTGTGGCACAAACAATATTGCGAAAGCTGTTGACTGGTTGGAGACATCGCAGTACTTTGGACCTATGTTGGGAAAAGACCCGCTTGGCCGTGTTAAAGAGGTCGACTATGTCGACTACGTTTATGGTATTGTGAAGCTCTTTGGCTTGGAAGATAACCCGCTTGACGATGTTGACGACGTTGATAGTATTAACGACATTGATATTATTGAGGTGAAGGGACCGGATGAGAGCAAATACATCAACTATCCAAAGGGCGAATTCAGTACGCTCACCAATCATCGAATTGGCTTTATCCTTCCCCATGGACAGAATATCCGTGCTTGGGCTATTCTGACAGCAAAGGGGTACGAAGATGTCTTGAACTCTTATGTGGATATGGGTGGAGCTGGTTGGAAGATGGATCCGCAATTCGCTGCCATTCTGCAAGAATTCAGTCAGTCAGTACCTAGCGAGTACGAGACTGTTCTGGAGACTAAGAGAGAAGGCATGTGAAAGCTGTACATGCGAGGAGCACCTTGATCGAACAATTTAGCGACCGGTGAAGCCACTTATAGATATAGATAGTAAACCTCTCAAATATAAGGTTTCTGTTAAAGTCTTTATTCTTGATACCCGATCACGGCAGGTTAGAGTGTGGCCTGCCATTCTTTTCCGAGAAAAATATTTTGATAAGCTTTACGCCAAACAGATAGTTAAATCAAGCCATAAGGTTTATGTTAAAGTGAATTGCCGCGATATGCAGGTAAAATTCGCTGGTGTCCATGTTGTGTAGTTGACTGGGCTTCCTCTCAAATCGACGAGTAGATGCGAGCAATACTTGGAATCATGTCGTGGGCGACTGGGTGAGAACTCCAAATGATCTTCAAATACAATAACCATTCGCCGGACGGGTATAGCGGTTTCTAGCTACGCTTGGTTATAGCGTGAATGCAGGAACTAGACTGATGATTTTAAAGTTGCATGCTAACATGTCTAGCGCCACGTCTATGGACTTGGCGCTGCTAGGATATTGTTGGTGTAGATAGGCCTGCAACTTTAGCAAGAACCACTGCTGTTACAGCCTTGGATGCTGCCACCGTTATGACCTCCATAATATCCTTCTGCATCACGAACATGGACTTATAAGCGGGCAATGTTATTGGCTCTGTGAGCACTACATTCTACTATTCGCTTAGTACTAGTAGTTAAGTTTCTAAGCAGCACAAGCAAGGCCTAGGCAGACGCTAACTATAGTAGTGGCCCTACTCAAGAACGACAAGAAGCTCCACTATACCTCGCGGCCTTTATACTCTTTCGTTGTGACCTCGATATCGTCGACCATAGCCTATGCGACGCTTTTTAAAGCGCTCTGGTGTTCATATATTCTGCACATACGTCGCCGTGGTTCTAAGAGACGGGGGCTTGGTATTTTCGAGACACTCTCTCCGCGATACACAGTCCGTCCGGTACTACTAAGTACAGCTCTTATTGCGCATTCCTTCAATATGCCGCAGCCATCGTGCAAAACATTCCAAAAGATTTCAGGGGACTTTTTCTCAACCAGATACGACAATGATTATAGCCATCCTATCCCTCTGACTTCCGTCGCTCAAGCAAGAAATTGTGCATCGTGGGGATGTCCCTTCTGCACCATTCTTATGGCCAACGCTGACCCGTCGTTCTATCCAGAAGAGTTCTTGTACACCCATGACATGAACTTGAGAAGAGCAATGGTTGACCCTGAACAGGCTTTTCAGCTCTTTATCGGCAACGCCGATGTTTCACATACATTCTTCTATCGCGTACCGCCTGAATGGAGTAAGTCTCAGATTTACGAGAGCACAACTAGTTACGACCCGCTAATAGAGATAGAACTTCCACTTGCTGAGTTGGATAGGCTTTGGGATGAATTGACGCTCATGCGAACTTGGCTGTCTAATTGCGTGACCAAACACCCCAAATGCAAGCAGATTGCTAGTAAAGGATCTCCGAAACGTCTCCTCGATGTTAGAGCCTTTTCGAATTCGAACGACACTAGACTAGTAGACTGGCAAAGTGTTCCGACCACAGCGAGATACGTCACCCTTAGCCATTGTTGGGGCCCAGTCAACCACCGCCCAATCTGCACAAGCAAAGCCACCTTAAGTGACAGAATGCTGCGTATCCAATTCAAAGATCTCTCGGTGACGTTTCAGGATGCTGTTAAGATCTGTCGGGATCTGTCGGGATCTGGACCAGAGATACCTTTGGATAGATTCTTTATGCATTATTCAAGACGATAAAGATGATTGGTCACAGGAAGCAGCCGCTATGGCTTCTATTTATGGTGCATCATATGTCACTCTGGCTGCACTCAGCTCTGGAGACAGTACTCAGGGCTGCAGGACCAGAACAAGGGGTCCAGAAATGCCAAAGCTATCGCGATACCAAGACTTTAATTTCGGTTCTCAACGCATCAGAATTCTAGAAGACTCGCCAGTTTCCTGGGATGAGGAACACGAGGGTTGTGGATCCAATCCGTTACGCACTAGAGCGTGGACACTACAAGAAAGAGACCTCTCATTGAGGTGTATCAACTTTCGTCAGGGCCAACTGCTTTGGCAATGCCGTACTATGAAGGGCTCATCGGAGCTTCCGTGGCACGAGATGACACGGCAACACGACGATTTCGTCCGCTTACCGCTAATGCTCCATCAAGAAGAAGACTTCACCTCTGATGGTCCAGCCTTTCAACGTCATCACTGGTTCAAATTAGTTGAAGATTACTCTTTAAGGAATCTAACGAAGGAAACCGATAAACTGCCTGCTTTAGCAGGCCTGGCCTCAAGATTCTCCGAGGAACGAAATCCTGGAAAGTATCTCACCGGCATCTGGTCAAATCACCTACCATCAGCACTTCTTTGGAGAACCGTGCCAGCCTACAGCCGTGACCGAAACCAGCGTGTTAGCCAATTCACCGCTTTTTTGCCTCGTCGTCCACAGATGTACAGAGCACCAAGTTGGTCATGGGCTTCCATCGATGGAGAGATCAGCTATGAGTGTCAAAGAATCGACCCCTACTATGACGTACGCGGTTCCTTCGACAGCGGTTACGGGAACTTCGAGATTACGGATTCTTACGACCAATTAGCAACAGCGCTTAATAGTTTTGGTACCCCTTTGGATGTCGCACTACGAATGCGCGGCAACATTACTGAACTCCAAGTTGGCACGCAGCTGATCGAGGATGTCTCTGGAGAAATTCGACGACTTATTTCGGCAGATGGCATCACAATTGGAGCATTTTATCCAGATATAGTTGATGACTTTCGATTTGTGCGATCTGTATATGTCTTGAGCATTCGCTCTGAGCCATATTATTCTTCTGTTCCAATGCCTTATCATCCATATGGAAAACCTGTTTCTCCATATAGCCAGGAAAGCTGGAAAGATCTCAACCTAAGAATGGGGCTCGCTTTGCTGCGAGCAGGGTCAGGTGAGATATACCGACGTGTTGGTTTAGTGCGCTGGTTGAAAAAAGAGGTATTTGATGACACGCCAGTTGTAGACCTGAGTATTATCTGAGATGAAAAATGTTCAGTAGTTATAATCACATATGATTATACATAGAACAAAGCAGTGAATAAACAGGTCTTTCAAGAACGAATAAGTGCAGGAGGATAGCCATTAGTTCAAAATAACCCGTTCTATGTAATCAGGTGCCGTAACTTTCAAAATTATATAGTAGGGCTCTCAGGTACATTACTCGACTCGCAAAAGATCAAAAAGAATATCCTCCTAGAAACTGTCCATGGTATCCGGAGGCATCGAGTCATCCAGGTCTCTCGTCCCAAAAGTTCGTTTAGCGAAATCGTCCTGTTTCGGTGCACTACCCTTCCTCTTCCGCGAGCCTCCGCTATCAGAAGCGATATGCATTCTTGCCCATTTCCTGACTCTTGTAAACGCTTCCTGAATTGGCGCTGGGAGTTTACCAGGCTGTGTCGCTGAAATACCATTACTTTTCATCAAGACATGAATATCTGTCTGAGCGCGTGCAATTGCCGGGTTCAAAGACTGGCCAAAGACTGTATCGCGGAATGATGTGAGAGCAACGTTTGTCAACAGAATGATATCGCCAACCTTGGTAGCTTGTAGGGCGTCAAGAAGCAACTTCTGAGAACGTGTACGCTCGTTTTTTGAGTCTAGGTTCGGACGCATCCAGAAGGCGATTTTGAAACCGGAGAAAGAGTCGTCCGCTACTATGATTTCCCAGAGATCCATTTTGTAACCGCCTTTGCGGACAAAGACTTCGCGCTTCTCTGGGTTTGAAGTTACGACGCAGATGAAGTTTGGGGTTGGTGTCTGAGGGTATATTGCTCGTAGTTGCTGTGCGCTAGGGAGCGAGGCAAGTGGCGTTATACTCAGCTTGAGTGGGACATGAATTGTGGTGTATTGATCAGCCTTGTTGGGACTACTATAATCCGACGTGGTGGTTTCGAAAGATGTGGAAAAGAATGAGGAGGAGTTGATAGTAGAGTCAGGCCCCTCCCCCGGAGCCACCTGAGATGACAATAGTGTGTCGTGGAAGACGAGCGAATGCTCAATCAAGCCATCAGTATGGAATGTTGGGTCGTTAAAACTGACAGTGGCATCAAGCGCCGTTGTGTCTTCTTGTGCAAATGATTGAAACCGAACAACTTCAGGAAGCGATACATCTGCCATATGGCTTCCCAACATAGACCCAGGGAGGTAAGGGTGCTGCCATTCTGATTGGAGTCGCGCATCCTTCTTCGCAAGGCAGCGCCACTTCATCGCAGGCGTAGAATCTACAGGCGGCGTCTCGCATCTTGCAGAAACACTGAAACCATTGCACTTATCAGCAGGTAACAGACAGCCGTCGCTGAAATCCAGATGTTCACGCCTAGGCGCGCCGTTGAGCATCTTCAGTTTCATCTCGCGAATCGGGAGCTTCTACACCCCGACACACGCGATAAAGCAATAAAGCGGTAAGGCGGGACTTGTATCATTGGTGTGACACCGGCAACTAGACATAGGCTTTTCTCAAATTGTTGGGGTAATGTGGAGCCGAGAGAGAAGGGGTGGCTCAAAAGACTCGGATAAGAGGCGATGTCCGAGTGAGCGAGCTGTCTTGCTCCGAGGTGTGGTGGTCTCTGCTTCGTCTGCTCACTCGCCCAACAACCTAGTACAGTGCCCAAAGTCCGATTGACCGAGCCAGGCAGCGAAACATAAAAAGGCTGGCCGCCATAAGAACGGAATAGAAAACAAGAGGATCCGTAAGCAATTGCCTTGATTCCGTGGTTTGTAAGACGAAGCATAAGACTTACTCCGGCCTTCATCCACCCCCACTCGTCACTCATCACGCCGGGGTTTACTCGAAGCCGGGGTGAGTGTGCCCACATCCCGGGGTTCTTGGCGATCTAATCTACAAATCTGATATAAATGTCTCAAATGGCACCCTCAAAACCCCCCCACCGCCCGATCAACGCATACAGAGTCCCTGCCATGCTACGAAATCTCTCCTACAAGCTGGGCTCAGCGCTGTCGTCGTCGTCCGAAGTCTCCGTCAGCAAGGACACCGACGAGTTTACCAAAGTCAAGAAGACGGAGGATTTGTTCCCGACTACCAACCCGGCGATTGATGGCGACGACTGTTTGCATGACTGTGCCAGTTGCAGCGTCAAGTATCCTCGCAAATTCGAAATCGATGAGACTGAGGAGTTGTTCGGTCATGTGAAGGGGTTCAACACGCATTTGCTTGTTGCAACGGGGAAGACAGACTGGGTGCGCGATGTCGCCGACGAAAAAGGCAGTATCATGGAGGCCGTCGACAGAGGAACCGTAAAGCCCAGCAACGGCGTAAGTTTTCCCAATGCCCAGAGAGAAATATCCCAGAAACCATGAAAAGAAAACCCGCGCATGCAAGTCCCCTAACTTCCCCCCTCAGAAACTCATGCTATCCGCCTCCAACATCCCCATCCCAGACCACTCAGACCACAGCTCCATGGTCCTACTCCTCCCCTCCTGGCAATTCATAGACAACGTAACACCCGCAAACGTCCCCGACCTCATCACGCGCTTCGTCAACCCAGGCCCAACAAACAGCACGCCGTTGCGCCCGCACACCGCTGCGCTACCTTCCTCCACATCCCCGGATGAGTCTTCTTCCGGATCCCCATCCACACCCGAACCCGCCGCGATACCACCGTCGCTCCCAGACACAACGCCACAACTCAAAGCGCGGCCATGTCCGCACAAATACCTTATTCTGATGTGCAGCCAGAAAACAAGAGATGCGCGCTGCGGACAGTCTGCGCCATTGCTGCGTAAGGAGTTTGAGCGGTTACTTAGGCCCATGGGGTTGTACCGTGATTTACACGATGAGCGACCGGGGGGTGTAGGGATATATTTTATCAGTCACGTTGGTGGCCACAAGTTCTCGGCGAATGTGATGATTTATCGGCATTCGTCGGTTGTGTCGCGGGCAAGTCATGCGAATGGCACGGAGAAGCAACTTGCGGATTTGAAACTGGAGGATGAAGAGGGCAGGGAGGTTGTGTTGGATGCGAATAAGGAGCAGGAGGCAGAGGGGAGGGGGGAGGCTGCGCAGTGTATATGGCTTGCGCGTGTGAAGCCAGAGGATTGTGAGAATATCATCAAGTATACGGTGTTGCAGGGTAAGGTTGTGAAGCCGGAGAGGCAGCTACGGGGTGGCTTCGACAGATGCAAACAGCTGGCTAGCTGGTAGTTGGCTGTTAGGCCATATGTTTGGGGTTCTCTGGGAGTTCCTTCGTAAAGTAAATGACGCAATACCCCACTGCTGATGGCAGTTCATACATATACTAGATTATCTGTTCACAGCATACATGGCGCGTAGGATAGACTAGAATTCAACAGTCTCATTGATGCAATGCATACAACTGCCAAATGTGAGAATATCGATAAGTAACCACAGCACTCTGTTTCGCTCTCGTATTCGACTTGAAATTTTTGGCAGTCTGTCCATGACATGGCAAGATGTAAGTATGCTTGGTTGCTCTCCAACATGACAAAAGCTCAAAAGGGTATGACGTAATCTACTCTCCGAATCGACGTTGTGGGGGTATCTTCCGGGTAAAACAAAACACAGCAGCGACAGGCTGTAACCGCCGATTGGATCTCAAGTGTGACTGATCGTACTGGCGACGCGAAGAAGAAAGGCCAGGGGAGTTGTATGCATAGTATGAAACCAAAAAAGTCTCTGCGACGGCCCTGAACCGGTGGCAGCAAGACAGGCGTCTCGACATGGCCGTCTCATCAGCCCGCAGCTTCCTTGACTTTTCCACCAGTTGTAGGCGCTTCATCGATAAATTGTGGTGGTGCGGTCTCGTCCAGCATAAAGTTGGGTACACCGGAGGATTCTCCAATACCCTCAAAGTCGACTTCGTCGCCCAAGGCTTCCAACTCGGCATCCAGTTCCGACTCGTCCACATCCTCTGGTACATCGTAGCTGCGGCTTATAGCGTCTTGTATATCGTTTCCCATGTCCATGAGGTCTGCCATTTCGTCTTGAAGTTTGTCAATCTGATCAATGTTGATCTTGCCGTACTGCTTCCTCAGTTCCTTGGTCGTCGTCTTCATGGCGTCGATGGTGGTCATGTTATTCTTTAGATTATCTTGCATCATGCCGGCTTGTTCCATGTTCCATGACTGCGCTTGCAGTTGGTCGCGTTGCGCTTCATACTGTTTCCGCTGCTGCAGGACTTTGAGGGCTTTCTGCTTGATGGCCGTCTTGCCGGGTCCGTCTCGCATCTTGGCGAGCTTCTGCTGATAGGTGCTTAGTTCGGCGTTCAGTTTGGCGAGCTTGACATCGATGCTTTCTATCCGTGTGTCGACCTGACATTGTTAGTACATGGCGAATGCATGGAAATGCGCCTGTCGTACATTGGATATGGCGCTGCTAAGCGTTGGTTTGGGCGCGTTGCTCTTTGCTCCGAACAACCGGTTCATGGTGATGTGATCCCTGAGGTGATTGGGGCAGAGAAGCTAGAGTCTTGGGTTATTGTGCATGTAATTGCGAAGACAAAGGCACATGCATATGAGAGGCACTGGCAAGTGGGGAGGAGCGCAGGCAGACGGCGAATGATGGTTGTAGGGATCCGGGCACGCCAGCCAACCAACAGAACGCCAAGAACTATATAGGTCTAGCCAAAATAGGACAGGCTATCCGCTGTTCCATTCAACCACCTTATGAATTGATCTGAAAACATAATCAACAAAGATATCATTTTCTCCTCAATGATCTGAAATCATTCCACTGCAATGTCTTATTTACTACCCCAACCCGAATAGGATTGATTCTTGTTATATATAGTCCTCCCATGATGGTGGCTTCCTTGTGTAGCGATACGCTCACTCTTCATGCATCGGATTTGACCTTCTCTTCACTTAGCTTTTACGGAGGCACACGGCCCTTGTTGTTCGGCATGCTATCGGGTGCAAGGCCGCGAATCCACGCACACAGCGACTCGATATCCCATATGAGGTAAGCGCTAGAGTTCTTCGGAAGATGTATACTTGGGTGTGTTGGCCCAGTAAGCCGGTGCCTCAAACGCTATCTGGGTCACCTCAAGGCAGGAATCTCATTGAGTGTTCTTGGCTTGTCACGATACTTGAGAATAGCTATGGGTCTTGTAAGTACTCAACAGTAAAGTCCTTGTTTTTCCAGTGAGGGTTGAATTTCACAAGGACGATGATTCGAAGATTTGAGAAACATGGAATGTTAATGTCTTTGTACTCGTCTCTGTGCATGATGAGAAATGCGTGTGGTGCGCGCCAGGCTTTATTGTTTGAGTGGGCTCACGTGATGTCATCGATGCCTCAACTCTATCACAGCACTGCTACACAGTCAGAATATGACTATTTTCAGGGCTCAGGGGCGGAGTTTGTTTCTCGTAGTTCTGGATCAGAGTGATGCTGTATCACGTGACTGGACCTTGTGCATACATATGACTGCTTCGTCCGATGCGATTGAGATGCATATGTATCCAGGGAGAGGCTTTGCACACAGGCGCTAGGTTATTTCCATCAATCAGTAAGTGAATTAAGACACGGCGACATGGGCATGAGGCGCTCTTGGGAGTCGAGTCCAAAGTCGTCTCTAAGCGCCGGCCGTTCCCGCAAACGTCATCGCAGGTCACGTGGACTGCTACCGAGAGCGGCATCACGAGTGCCGGTCATGGCGACGGGATTTGGGTTGGCAGGTGATGGCGCAGATTTTGATGCCTAAGTGTTTTACTTCTCAGCCCAAGGGAGGACCGGCGCGTGTTCTACTAGGCAACTTCTCAAGGTGGTAGAGAAGGGCGCGTTCACATCGTACGCAGGCAAAGTGGTTGTTTCTCTTGTGGGCTACATGGCGTACTAGAGCAAAGGCTTTGAGCATGGAGGCTACTAGCGTAACGGATGGTAATGGACAAATCTGCAGTTGCGTCATGACCAGGGCCTCGTGTGGACTGCAAGTAATCCACATGCATGCTGCGTATGTACTTGGTCTATGTGTACTTGGTAGATGGATGCATGCATGCCGTGGCTCTGTCTGTTTGTTATCAAGGAGGTCGCAAGTTGGGATCTGCAAGCACGCTACCTACCAGTACGCAGCTTCTCCCTAGCCTTCTGTCACCACCAAAAAAACCCAACAAATCCATTCACCCCCGTACCTTGCCTTCGCCTGGGTACACCCCACGCCAAATCGCATTTCAATCGCCGGCTTTCCCCGCTTGTATGTATCTGTAACCACCCGGCCACGACGCAGCGTCTCCGAGTAGATGCATTGATTGCAAGCCTCGCGCCCGTCTCGCTTGCCGTTGCCCTCCCCCGCCGTCTTGTTCGCTTGTAGGTACCTGTCCCACCTACTGCACTCAGCCCGCCCGCTGCCCGCTGCCCGAGCCTCAGCCCTGACCACACGCGCCCTCTACTGTCTTACACCCCCCCGAACACTTGTTGCTAACCAAGACGCCCGTCTGCTGTGCAGGCCCTTTTTGTTGCTTCAGTGTTTCCGCTTCCCATGACGCATTGGTCGCTGCAGTAATCGTACGTACGCATGTCCAGCCCCACCGGCCTACAGTTGCTGCTCTCGAGTCCCTCGCCCGGCCCCTTCCCTGCCCCGCCCTTGTAGCCGCAAGCACCGCATACGACCATGTTCTGGCGCTTTGGCGGCTACGCACAGCTGTCGTCGCTGGACAGCATTCTCGACAAGCCCGATGTCACTGTCGAAGAGCTGCTGGACGAGTCGGACCTGATACAAGAGCTCAAGCAGCAGAACTCGAAGCTTATAGAATACCTTCGCGACGAAAATGTCTTGGAGCGCTTGTTGCGCTATGTCATCGCCGCCAGGCCCAACCTACCCCACGACGACGACCAAGGAAGCTCGCTGGCGCATGAGGCGAGGAGTCCCAGTCGCGCTGGCTTCTTTGGCAGAGTCAGGGCCCGCTCAACCTCGACCACAAAGTCGGACGCAGGCGACACCGAGGAGAGCAAGGAGGAGCGCCAGCGGATGAAGTACGCTTACGTATCGTGCGAAATCCTATCCTCTGAAGTATGGTCCATATCAGAAGCCGTGCTCGAGAACCAGGACAGCCTGCGCCAGTTCTGGGCCTACATCAAGCAGCCTGCCCCGCTTGACCCTGTCCAGGCCGGCTACTTCACCAAAGTCAACGAGTCGCTGCTCGACCGCAAGATGGAGGAGATGCTCGACTTCTTCAAGTCTCTGGACAACGTTGTGCCAGATATGCTACAACACGTTGACTGCCCAGTCATCATGGACTTGTTATTGAAGATTATCAGCCTTGAGAAGAGCGAAGGCGGCCAAGGCATTGTTGATGTGGGTGCAGCCATTCAGATCGGCAGGCAGGACTGACAAAAGCGCAGTGGTTACAACAGCAAGATCTCGTCCCACGATTGATTGCCTTCCTCCGACCAGACCAATCGACCTCGACTCAAACATCAGCCGGCGATTTCCTCAAGGCTATCATCACTATATCTGCCAACGCTACAACACAGGACCAGTCGGTAATTGGGCCAAATGAGCTTACTCGGCAACTTGTTTCCGAGTCATGTCTCAAGCAATTGATAGAGTACATGCTCCATGGCGGTAACCCGCTTACTGTTGGCGTGGGCATCATTATCGAGGTCATCCGAAAAAACAATTCCGACTACGACTTGGAGAACCAAATCGGACCCGTGCCCAAGAACTCAGACCCCATCTACTTGGGAACGCTACTTCGACAGTTTGCAAATCATATTCCACAGTTCATGGAGCTGGTCAATAGCTCCAGCCAAGTGGTGACAGAGTCAGACGGCACCATCACAAGGAAGAAGCGTGAGCTCAAGACAGCCTTTGGTGACAAGATCGAGCCTCTCGGATTCGACCGCTTCAAGACCTGCGAGCTAATGGCTGAATTACTACACTGTAGCAACATGGCGCTGCTCAATGAGCGCGGTAGTGAGTCCGAAGTCCGAAGACGAGATGCCGAGCGAGAACGTTTGAAAGCCGACGGTAAACTAACCTCAGCAAACCCCGGGAACCCAGGAGATTTCTCCACCAGTGTTGACAGTCAAGGGTTCCATCACGCGCGCGCCCCATCCATGGACTCGCCTGCTGAGATTAAGCCTCTGCACGTGCAGAACAGCTCCGAGGATGATTTCGAAAAGGTCGTTGCGCCAGAGGTCGCTGTTGAGGACCCAAAAGAGACTGGAAACGACAAGGAACAGATTGGCGAGCCATTGGAACCTTCACCTAAAGTGGCTCCTAGGGATGCGCCCAAGGAAACGACCACAAGTAAGACTGTGGGTGACGATGGTGAATTCGTCGATGAGCCTCTCACACCACCCAAAGACTCTACTGTGTCTACTGAAGCGGCTCCTTCTCCCGCCAAGCCTATAGACGATGCAGAATCCCCCACATCAGCAGGTCTAACAGCCAAGGTCGATGATCTCGGTCTGGGTAACGATACTGTTATGAACGATCGTCGGGAGGCCCCGGAATCTGCAAAGATCGAGAAACCTGAGACTGAGACCAAGTCCTCGCCATCTTTACTAACACAGCAGCTCAATCAGACCTCAGAGTCTGGCAACATCGATCTACCAGATCCTCCTCTTTCGCCTCACCCTGACGATAAACCAGCACCGCTTTTTGCGGGTAAGAACCGTGACAATGGCTCCTCGCCCGCGAAGGTCGACACTTCGCGGTTTACTGCACCTGTACCGGGATCGGATCTTTCCGAGATTACCCCGATTGACGAAACTCAAAGCGTCCGCTCCGTGGTGTTTGGAAGCACAGAAGACACTGTAGGGTTCGAGGTCGATATCGATGGAACACCCGTGGTTGGCGATTTGTTGAAGATTACGTTTGTCGAGAACAGAGTTGTGCCAACTATACTTGTAAGCTCTCATTCAAACCACTGGCTGTAGCTTCTAACACCTGCAGGACTTCTTTTTCCGTTTCCCTTGGAACAACTTTCTACACAATGTGGTATATGACGTTGTTCAACAGGTGTTTAACGGCCAGATGGAGCATGGGTACAACCGGCAATTAGCAATTAACCTATTCGACAGCGGCGCCATAACTGAACGAATCATCAAAGGACAAGAAGAGAGCGACAAGTCGCACAAGGAGACACACATGCGACTAGGATACATGGGCCATCTTACCCTGATCGCAGAAGAAGTGCTCAAGTTTACTGAGCGACACACGGATGAAGTCCTATCACCCATGGTCCTGGAAAAGGTCCACGCCGAGGAGTGGGTGCACTACGTCGAACACGTCCTGGCCGAGACACGAGAACGAGACAATGCCATCCTCGGAGGAGTACGACCCGACATGAGCGTTGGCCCCAGACAAGCGGTGCTTAATGCCGTCAACGCAGCGAATAACTTTGTAGGCGACAGTGGGGGACTCTCCAACGCTAGCCTCGCCGGCAACGGTGCCATAGGCCTCGACAGCATGGAGCTCACCAATGCCGGTGACACTGGAGGTGGTGGGTACACCTTCAGCGGTGGCTCCTTGCTTAGTGGCTTTACTAACTCGAGTGATGAAGAAGACGAAGACATGGACGATGTCGACACCGAGAGAGAACGGGAACGACAGGGTCCTGTCGACGACTCCGAACAAGTGGGTGAAATCTCATTTGACGATGCTGATATGGACTATCGATAATCGCATCGCCCCGACCATACACACACTACCACCACGATCGTTTCCCGCCCTTGGTGCGTTTCCTTTTCTTATACCTGTTTGTATCATGAGTTGGGACTGGTAGAGGGCTCACATGCTGGACCCATGGAACAAACATCGTTTCTTCTGCACATACATTCCTCGGTCATCGAACAGGGTGTATGATACATGTAGTAATACACATCGTAAGATGTGGTTTTTCCATCATTTCCTTTGTGTGAAAAGATGATTTCCATGATCCAGCATGCCCTCCCTACCGTCGTCTTCATCTCTCTATCATGTTTGCTTGTTCAATCTCGGTCTTCCCCTGTAATTTCTTTTGGTCGCGTTCCATCTCCGTCTCGCTGATCAGCATTCACTCTAGTCGTTGACCTGTTATACTGACACACCCCCGTTTCCAGTCAAGCATCCCACAGCCTCTGCAAGTACCGCCCTCGCGAGCGCGTCGCCAATTCGCTCTCCGGCTCGCCCAACGCAGGGCCCAAATCGAATCGGCACGTGACGCAGAGGACGATCTAGACGATGATTCATTGCCCAAGACGCAAGAGGAGGAAGAACGCGAAGGCCACCAGCGTTTTGCTCGCATGTTTGAAGGCATAGAAGACTCATCTGACGACGACAGCATGCACAGCGGCGAAGGTCAAGGAGAGGGAGGCCATGAGTTCGGGAGAAATTCTCCAGAGAAGTGTGCTAGCCCTGAGAAAGCGGAGCTTGACAGTGGTGGGGAAGGCAACGTGACGAGTGGTGATGGAGCGCGGAAGTTTGTGGTGTAGTGTTTGAACGGTTGGTTGTCTGTTTACATGGCTTGGCATGATTTTTGATTTAATAGATCGAGCATATGTCGCCTGCGGGATGACTACATTGGTCGTCTGCAGTATACAGGATGAATGGATGTGATACGTAGTAATGCATGTTTATGAGATACCCACCCCTTTACCACACGAGTTTCACTGTGAGCTTGTGGAAATGAGATGTATTCCATGTTATTGAATACAACTATAGGATATGGAAGATGATTAGAATGCCAGATTCAGTACCTTCCAGAGTACGTATCATGTGACTCGGCGATACGCTAACGCCGTAGCGCGTTTTCGCATGCGTCCACTGATTGTAACCCCAGTTCTCTTGAACTCCGCATACAGACAACAACCTCACAAATGTCCGCCCATCTAACTACAGGCCGTCCCACGTCGGACCGCCGTGTGTCAGGAGCACCAAAACGCACATCTCTCCTTCCGAAACCATCATCGATTGTGTTAGACTCTTCAGTCCTCATTGCCCAGCACGCGCAACTTACCGGCCTTCACCCAATAACGATTGGCCCGAATACTGTACTGCACCCACATAGCAAGCTCAGCAGCGCATTGGCACCCGTCGTATTGGATGAAGGATGTGTTATTTTCGAGCGAGCAAAAGTCGGCGTGGGCATGGGATCTGAACTAGATAGTGAAGGTCGGCGTACCAACATGTCAGCACGCAGTAATGCGAATGTCAGAGAATCTATGAGGAGCGAGGGAACAGTACTGGGAAGGAACGTAGTCGTTGAATCGAACGCAGTAGTTGAAGCTGCCGAGGTAGGCGAAGGCACTGTGATTGAAGTCGGTGCTGTCATAGGGAGGGGTAGCATCATTGGAAAGGTATGCAAGACTACTCCTCCACGATTTGATAGTTTTCAAGTGCTAAAACGTGTGTACAGTATTGCACTATCACGGCTGCATCTTCCCTGCCCCCAAATACCCATTTACCAGACTATACCGTCGTCTTTAGCGGCTCCCAGCAGCGTATCGATCGCACACTGCAGTTACGACCGGAAATTCTGAGTGCGAAGATGGCGGTGCATGCCAAGCAGCTGGACATGTTCAAGAGATTGATTCCGAACAATATCGCGAAATGGGCACCGTGATCGGCTGGAAGTGCAAACCTCGTCTAGCAAACGATATTCAGAGCTGCGGCAATGGTTTAATGAATTGATGTCAATCATACACAATCATCCGTTGACTGTTCAAAAAGTCATGGGCTTTGCCTGAAAGAGTTGCACGTGGTCACTGCATTGGCTCTTTCACTGCTCCCACACATCTCAACATAAACTCAACGCTCGATTCGTCCCACTCTGGCCTATTCTTCTTCACATAGCATATTCAGCCCACCCCAGAAATGTCCGACCTACCTACCAAAGACGATTTCTTTGCCCACGGCCTATGAGCATGTCCCTTACCGGATGATGACACTGACTGTCCCATCTACCTGGGGAAGTTTACATCGGCACCTAGTACCCCAAGCGATACCACTGAATCGGACTCTATATCTCTCACAGACGGTGCCACCGACGAAGATGCCGAAAGCTACGTACCCTTACAGATGCCATGCTGCAACAACGTCTTTTGTTACCGCTGCATCAACACTTGGCTTAATTCGGCGAACACGTGTCCGACCTGTCGTGTACGACTTTTTGAGGGACCAGAGTCAGAACCAGAACGAGAACCGTCTGAATCAACTGACTCTGAAACATATGATGATGATGAAGAAGAGGAATACGATGAAGAAGACTTGGATGAACTCATGGAGTACTATTCTGAATGGGGTACGTCACTGATGATTGAATGGGGTGTATAGGGGGCGACCAGGAGTGTAAGGTTACGTGGCACGATACGCGATCGAGCTCAAAAATCAAGAGGCAACCCACAATCGAGCTGGTGTAGTGTCGAAAGCCGGATTATTGCTTGTACCTTTTGCGTGAAGCATCAGTCTTTTCAATAAAAACAGCTCATAAATCACTGATATCGACACTGTCAGTGCCGAAAGAATTCCGTGTAGAGGTTTTCCAAATTTCGTGAAACTTGGAGCCAAAGAAAACCAGGCTTGCATTTTCTCCACGGCCTGCACTGTAATGATAATGGGGGGGGGGGTATCAAACAAGTTTATTAAAACTACACTACGTTACCCTTGGCCATAATCAAAACTCCAACATTGTGCACATCTCATGCCAGCTACGTAAAATTACCGAATCAAAACCATTTACAAAGTCATTATCACCATAACGAAGTGAAGAATTTCAGCCATCTCTCCCCCCCCCAATTTCCCTTTCCCCAAAGACTCTCAACGCCAGATCTCATGCCGAATCACTGCCACCTAAACCCATCTCCCGGTAAAAGAAAACTCGCCTCTTCAAACGTGATGACGCGATCCATGTCCAGGAAATGCGAATCCATAAATGCGTCTGAGAGGTTCAAGAGCGATTGATCTTGTACGCTCTGCTGCTGTGTGCCTTGCGCACCTAGCCCGGTAGTGTTGTAGGGTGGGTTGCTAGATGAGGGTGCGCCGGCGTGGTAGATTGAAGGAGGAGGAGGGGGGTAAGAAGGTGTTTGGGGCATGTGGTGGGATTTGTAGATGGGGGTTTGCGGGGCGGGTGGGGAGAGGTGGGTTTGGTGGGGATGCGGGATGTATCTTGTAGGGGATGTGAGGGTGTGGTGGTGTTGGTCTTGAGGTGGTGGTTTGGTGCTTGGGCTGAGGGTTAGTTGGGGGGTTGTGAGACTGGTTTTGCGTGTGTGGTGCTTTATAGGTCGTTCGGTGGCGGAGCTGTCTGGGCGGGTTTGCGGGGTGGGTGCGTAGGTTGGGCTTGCAAAGTGTTGGGGGTATAGTGCTATGCCGCTGTGGTCGTAGAAGTCGAAGCGGAAATAGGGGTCGTGGTGGCAGGTTTCTTGGAGGCGCTCGAGTTGGTCGGCGTACATGGCGGCTTGATTGTTGGGGCGCTGGTTGGTGTCGCGGCTTTTTTGCCAGCGGGTGGCCATCTCCCAGAGGTCGTGAACTAGGCGGTTGAACTCGGGTTGGAGAGGACGCCGGGTGGCTTGGTGGCCGAACAAGAGGGCTTTGGCAGCGACGAAAGCGCAGAAAGAGAATTGTACGTTGACAAAGGGTATGGGAGTGTGGGTTAGGAACTTGTTGACAATGTTGGAAGTTTCGACAGCAGCGAGCTCGCATGTTTGCGCACTGCATTCTTTAGGGAGTGCGACAAAGTCGTTCCATTCTTTAGGAGGATATCCAATTGGGTGATGTAGCAGTATCATCGATGTGTTGTGAGTAATGTGTGCTAGAGTTAGATTTGGGTCCATGTCTACCACTGCTCGGTCGGCAGATATATTGGAGTCTTTCCATCTGGGTGGTAGAAACATCTTCCACTGAACAAGCCGAAGATCTAGCTCTTTGAACCGCGTCAGCCAGCTGACTGCATGCTCTTTATCTTGCCAGTTGATCCGTTGCTGGAGGAAGAATGTGGTTACTTGGCTCAGACTCTCAGTTGCTTCAACGCAATACGCGAAAGCGCCAAGTTTAGATGCGTCTATGTAGCTGTTTGTCGAGTTTGGACTAGCACCTGGAGGTAGGTCTGTTCCAGGATCATCCTCATTATATTGAGCTGGTACGTTGGCTAATGAGCGTCCGATACGAGCCGCTGCTTTGTTCCAAATTCCTGCCATCATTGGTTAGTAAGGTTGGAACATCAATATGCATATCTCCCTCTGAAGCGCCAACCAAGTATGCTTACGTACCGAAATATGGAGTGGTGACGGGCTCCTCACGGGTAAAATAGCCTCCGTCTGCTGGTAATCGACGATGGACATCTTCTGCGGTCAGACTGGTATTCCACCCGGTAGATGCCGAACAAAATCGATCAAGCAAGAAGATGACCCAGAATAGTCTCCGGCGTTCCTCCAGCTCCGTCCAGTCATTCGAAGGCTTCACCAGACGCATAGGTGCCATTAGTGATCTGCAATGTAAGAGCGATGGCTCAGTAGTGAGCTGGAGGTAGTCAATTGTCCTAGTGAGCGATCCAATTAGTGGCCAAGCCCTCTGTGGCTGGCCATCGTTCAAGAGGTCAAATACAAGGAAGATGAGTGCTTGTAGACTTTCGATAGTAACATTTCGCATCGCATGTGTTTCCACAATCATGCGCGATATGTTTATTTGCTGGTGGATCTGGTCGGAATCCAAGAAAAGTATGCTGGGTTCCATATGTCGCAAAGCAACAGCGACTAGAGCGTGGAGAACAAGGACATGACCGGGATCCTGTGAGCCCTGGCGCACCCGTTTCTGGAGCCGCGCCTTGTGGATATATGGGATCCAGTGGTGGAAAGAGATACAGAAGAAATCTACGAGCTTCTCGAGAAGTGGCTGGGACGGAAGATGTTGAGCAATGTCGACGTCTGCAAACGGGAAAAGCCAGCTCTCAGGGACGGGCGTGTGGTGTCTTCTTTTCAAAGGATTTGGCGCCATGCTCTCTTCCTTGGGTACTTCTGGTGCGCTTTCTCTTGGAATATCCACGTAACGTTGTTCAAGAATAGGCTTGTTAGGTTGGGGCTGCTCATGCACACGAAACGCGGCTTCTGTCGTGTTCATGGTCGTAGTCGTAGTCGTGGTCGGTGGCGTCTCATGAACGATGGCCTGCCCTTTGGTCGGTGCATCCTCATCTACATATCGCGCACGAACCTGACCGTTTTCGTCCAAAAGGATCTTTTCCAGAAGAGCTGTAGATTGTGAGACGCGTTGCAAAGTAAACCCAGAAGGATCTCAGATCGGCATACCAACACGGCGGGTCAAGGCCTCGACGGCGCCTGGCTTAAGGCCTGGCTTGTTCTTTGGCTGGTACACACACTCAGAGGCTGCATGTGAGGATCAGCGACGAACCATGTCACTACTATTCAAACGCAACGACGTACAGAGCCTCAGACAATGAGTACACGAAGGCAGTTCGCGCGAGCAACGCAGCTTGCGCTGCTTGCAGCTGACGCAGGCAGGGATATCGCCTGCTACCGAGACGGGCCCATCGTCTTCGTGAGCGGGTGCTTGGCTGCCATTGCCAGCCGAGTAATTGGTCCAGCTAGCCGACATCAGCGCGACATCTTCAAAACGAGGCGTTTTTTATTGTTCAAAAAGGAAGAAAGTAGCGGGCTTAGAGGAAATGCAGCGAGCGGGCATCGGGATAAATCACATTAAAGTCGCTCCACACGCGCAACCCCGCGGAACTAGCACTCATTTCGGCCCATCAGTCCACTTTTAATGAGCGAGCACGTTTGCCGCACTTAAACTCTACCTTCTACCAACGGGTTGGACAGATCAATCTGGGGGACGGCATGCTATTACATCGGGGAAGGGCGAACTGCTCTTGCATCGGACTTGCAACCTTTTTTGGTCCGAATGCGGGGAACAAAGGGTTGGTTGATATGCAGGGCGCACGCGCAGACTGCAACCGTTTTACCGGCCAACTGCGCGACCAAAAAACCCAATGAACGAACTAGTCCATAGTATCCTTTAATATCGAGAAAACACTAATACTACTATATACAAACCTACATATTCCGCCCCCGCGTCAGCCATCTTACGATTCCCACCAAAGGCCTTTAGAAAAACAAGCAAGCAAGAGGGCGGAAAGCGAGAGAGAGAGAGAGAGACAGAGAAAAGAGGAGGGGAGGGGACAGAATAATTTAATGAACAAAACAATGCCACCACTCCCAAACTTCTCCAACAACCCCTTCCAAACCCGCCTTCAATTCCAAGCCGCAGCCAAAACCCTACTCGACGCACTCCATCCCTTCCATTCCCCAGGCGGCGCACGCATCAAACTCGGCTTAGCAACAGGCACACACTTCGACGATGTCGCCGCGCAACTCGAAGGCTTCGCACGCCCCCTCTGGGCCATTGGCGCCTTAGCACATGCTGACACTCTGAGTCCCTCTGAAAAAGCCGAAACAATCGAGCCTTTTGTTCGCGGACTAGCAAACGGCACGGATCCCACCCACGAAGAGTACTGGGGCCCCGTCGTCCTGCGCGATCAGCGCATGGTGGAAATGGAAATCATTTCTTTTGCGCTGCTGGCGGCGCCCGAGACGCTGTTTCATTCACAAACGGAGGGTGCGAAGCGCAATATTACGAGTTGGCTACAAACGATCAATGGGAAAGATTTTCCGACGACGAATTGGCTTTGGTTTAGGGTGATGACGAATTTGGCGTTGGTGAGGGTGTGTGGTGTGCCGCAGGAAGAGGTGCTGGGGGCTATGCAGGCGGATTTGGAGCTCATGGAGGAGTTTTATAGGGGGGAAGGGTGGGCGGCGGATGGGATGTGGGGGGATGAGGGACGCCAGGCGGATTATTACTCTGGGAGCTTTGCGATTCAGTTTTCGCAGTTGGTGTATGTGAGGATGGCGGGGGACCTGGATCCGGAGCGGTGCGAGCGGTTTAGGAGGAGGGCGAGGGAATTTGCGGGGAGTTTTTGGAGGTACTTTGATGGTAATGGTATGTATGGCTTGGAATCTAAAGTTTCTTGTTTGATACAATGGCTACTGATTTATACAACCCAGGTGCTGCTATCCCCTTTGGCCGCAGTCTCACATATCGTTTTGCACTCGCAGGTTTCTGGTCCGCCATCGCCTTCGCAGACGTCTCTCTACCCTCACCTTTGGACGACTGGGGCGTAATCAAAGGACTTCTCCTCCGCCACTTCCGCTGGTGGACCACGAAACCCGACATCTTCAACAGCGACGGCACCCTCACTATCGGCTTCGCATACCCAAACATGTACCTGAGCGAAGACTACAACAGCCCACAATCCCCGTACTGGGCCATGAAATCCTTCCTCGCACTATCCCTCCCACCAACCCACCCCTTCTGGACATCCGAAGAAAAACCACTGCCACGCAGCTCCCCCCACGCCATCGTCCCAGTCAAACCACCAATGCACATCCTCTGCAACAACCCAAACCACCACTTCCTCCTCTCCACCGGCCAATTCTGCCCCTGGCCCCTCAAAGCCACAGAGGCCAAATACGGAAAATACGCCTACTCATCCCACTTCACCTTCAGCGTCCCTACCGGCCCCTTACTCCAACAACTCGCCCCGGATAGTACCTTGGCACTGAGCAAAGACGGCGGTGACACATGGCGGGTACCGTGGAAAGTCAGTTCCCCGCGCTTCGACACCGTAGACCTCGTTCACAACGGCCAAGTCGCAGAAACAGTGCCTGCGCTGTGCAGCGAGTGGAAACCCTGGGTGGATGCCGAGATAGTAGTGTCAACGCTGCTTATTGCGCCGTGCAAGCGCTGGCCGGATTGGTATGTACGGTGGCATAGTATCGAGAATCATGGTGCGAGTGATGTGCAGTTGAGGGCTGTGCAGGGTGGGTTTGCGATTCAAGGGCGGGGATGGAGGAAGGGGGAGGTACTTCCGGAACTCAGTAGTGTGTCGGAGATCAAGAGTGCGGGTGTACAGCGGGATCAGGTGGCGGTCCTGGAAGGTACAGTGACAGATGGGGATTCAACGGTTATATGTTCGGATGCGGGTGCGAGCGGTGTTCGCATGTTGAGGTTACAGGCCGAGCAACAACGACCTACTATCACGCGGCAGTGGGCGCAGAGCCTCAAGCCAGATGCTAATACGAATTTGGTATGGCAGCGGACCCTTATACCGACAGTTGGTGTGGATGCTGTTGCTAGGTGTTCGGCGGTTGATGCTGGACCCGTGCTCTTTGGCTGTGCAGTGTTCACCTTGGCGCTGACAGGGGATAGAGCAGAGACGTACGGTCAAAGGCTGGATATAGAGAAACTGTGGATGGACACACCGATTGTTGATGCTGGAAATGAAAACGCCACTGGTAATGAGTGGTATCTAAGAGTTGGCTAGGCACACCAAACTGTTCGAAACAACTTCTACATTACGTTATTTCTTCTTTGCAAACAACCTTGTCATCGGTCACATGTGAAACGCAGACAGCAATCTTAACATATTTGTGGTATTTCCAATCTAAAGTCTGAATATAAAAAGCCCATACATCCCTAGCGTGCATAAAAGCAAGCCAGCAGGCCTCCCATGACACAAAATATTGGGCATCGATGTCTTTGCCGCTCCCCTTTTCCAAATGGAACCAAACATTTCATGTCTGTGACACGTCGGACGAGGAGTCACGCGGCGAATCCGCGCCAGGCATGCGCGCGTGATATTTTTCTTTTCGGAAACAAGCAAAAACCACAGCTCCTAACTGCTGCTCAAGCCCAACGACACCAAGAAACGCCAATTATATCTGATTAGGGTAATCGAACCAGGGCTTTGGAAACACAAAAGTGGGCGTCGTAGTAGTACACACGCCACTTTACCTCTTCCGCACGCAGAAGAAGAGACCAGTGCGACCAAGGAACCACAGACATCCGATGAAACGAATCAAAGCAAGTACTGCAGTAGACCACAGGAGAGCCTGGAAGAAGTGTGCGGTTCTGGTAGAGGCGTTGGACTATCGTCATGTTAGCAAAGTCTAGAGAAGAGAAAAAGATTAAAACTTACGGAGAAGCCGAAGCGGTCAAAGTTATCTTGGGTGATGACAACGGCGAGAGTAGCGTTAGAACCAATCCAGGCGGTACACAGATGGGTACGGAAAGACTTGTACGAATCCTCGAGGGTCTTCTCGTCCTTCTCCTCTGGTGGGACATATGGGGCAAGAGCACGCTTCACAGTAGCCTCGAATGCACTGTCAATATCAGCCTGGGGCAGATCAGGCTCCTCAATGACGTTGTGCTTTCCGTCTGATCCCTTCTCCGTCTTGGCTGATGGCAGAAGATCCGCCTTGTCAGAACCCTTGGTACCCCAAGACACATCGTGCCAGTTGGAGAAGGCGTAGACGTTGAGAATGTTGATGTACGAGGACATGATGAGCAGATATTGCGGGAACGAGGTGAACATGTGCCATGGGTCCATGTAGAGGAAGGAAGCGACGTAGTAGAGACCGAAAGTCGCGGCAAGAGCGATGATAATGATACCAACACCATCTGACGAGAAGAAGGATTTGGCAAATGCTTCCGGTGACGATGTATCGAGCTTCTGAGAGGTCGGGTTGGTGAAGGCCTGAACAACGAGGTAGATGGACAGGATGACAATGTAGAGCTGGATGAGACCGAAGACGCAGAAGGATACCAAGTAAGAGTATTTGGAACCCTTGGGACGATTACCAAAGGCCAAAATGAACTGCAGAACCAGGAATGCGAGGTAGAGGTAGGTGACGATCGTGTTGAAGATGGGAGTGACACGGTTACCAAATGGCCAAGCATCTCGGGTGTCGGTCTTGGTACCGACAAGGCTCATGATAATGACGGTAGTAAGCCAGAAGGAAGCCAGAGCGAACCAGGTAAGAATAGTCTGGAAGATGTTGTACAACATCTGAATGTGGAAGAAGAACATGCGCACAAAGTTGTGGCCACTCTTGTACATGCGACCGAAATGGAGGAGGGAGTAGATACCGGCAGCGAAGGAACCGTTGAGCCAACGACGACGCTGACCAATGAGTTCGGCAGCGCCTTCGGGCACGTCAGTCTCTCCCTTGGAGGCCTTGATGTAGGTAAGATGCCACTTTGATCCGGCCTTTGCGACGAGCTCGAAACACAGAATACGATCTTCGGCCAAGAACATGTTCTTCTTGAAAATGTTCATGCCCTCGATACCCTTCTTTCCGAGAATCTTGGCAAGAGTGTGGTCACCGTGGAAGTATTGTTCGAGCGGTCGGCCCATGATAGCACGGTAGCGGTAAGCCGAGAAAGCACCAGGCAACACAGAGACGTAGCCGAAAGACGATTCGAGCGGCTTGTCAAGAATGTTACTAATCTTGTACTCGAAATTTTGAGCAGCCACGAGCGGATTAAGCAGATTTTTCCAGCCCTTGCCTAACATAGCGTGGATCTCACCGCAAGCACCACCGAGATCTTTGTCGTTGTAGAAGCCTTCCCAGAGAGCGAGCAGCGATTTGGGACCAGGCTTGGTACCAGCATCGAGCAGAATGCAAACTTCGGGGTTGAGGATACGGCCAATGGCGGTAAAGAGCCATCTGTGCGAGTTGATCTTCTTGGTGTTCTTCTGCTTCAAGCAAAACATCATTTGAACGGGGGGCAGAGTGCTGGCGCTGTCATCGTGCGGGCGGATGAGCTGCTGGTTGGGTGTGACGGAAAGTTGTGTAGTGTACTCGAACTAAGCTTTGTTAGTTTATGCCTCGCAATCTGGCCAAGTTTTGGTGCAACTCACAATGTGAGCAACTGTCTCGTTTCCGTCGATATCCTTCTTCATGACACCGTCCTGGTAGACACCGACAGTGGCGAGCAGATCGAGCGTGCCCTTGTCGCAGGGATCGATACCGTCGAAAACCAAGCAGACGACAATCTTCTGCCAAGCTGGGCCACCCTTGTTCCAGAACTCGGACTTTTTGAGGTTGACAATGTCACGGATGTTCTGCATGACACCGTGCAGGGTGCGGGCAGTGAGAACCTTGTCTTCGTTGTAGTAGGTAATGGCAATGAGCAACTCAGTGTGGCGGTTGTACATGGCCGGACGCAGATTGTAACCGTTCTTGAGTGTGAAGTCGTTGGGGTCGCACGTGGCAGCCGTGTCTGGCAGCTGTCAGAATCGGATCGGCGGAGATGCTTGGAGGGGAGGAAATGACAAGAAACTTACATCGCATGTGGGTAAACTCCTCACTGCCACTTTCGAGGTCATTGCGGTATTTTGCCTGGATGGCATTCTGGATAGCTGAGGGCACGGGGTAGTCGGCACTGAGGACGGAGCCCTGGACGAGCTTGACCTTACGGGTCATGCCACGCTTGAGGCCACCGGCTTGACCACCGGGCTGCTGTCGCTGCCTCCATGCCTCAGTGGAGCTGGTCTCGCTCCTCTCGTATGGTGAAGGTGCACGCTGACCGGCACCAAAGTCGCTGGCTGGGTCGTAGCCACCGCTAACTGAGTAGCTGGTGCCCTCATGGCCCTGTGCTGGGTATTGAGTTGGCCGGTCGTTGGCATAGGATTCGGTCAAACTGTAGGTTGAGTGTGGGCGGTGATCAGGGTTGCCGTAGAAAGGGTCTGAGTTGGCACCGGTGGGGTTCTCGTGCAAGAGGGAGCGGGCAACCTCATCCTCATGCTCAGTGCGATCGTACTGCAGGGCGTGTTAGTTGCATGACTTGCGTCTTCTTTTTCTCTTTGCCTTTGCAGTCAGTTGCTGGCATCAGGGGCTCGTACACCAGTGTTTGGGTCTCCAAGGTGGTAACCTTGCTGGTTATTGTTGTTGAACGCCATGACGAGCTGCAGTCCGCAGGCAGGGGCTGCAGATGGCAAGGCGAGATGGGGAGATGGGGTGGAGATGTAGGGAGGAACAATGGAAAGAAAAAAAGAGCACTGAGCGCACGACTGGCGGTGTCGCTTGATAAAGGCCGATGCAGTGTCTGGGGCGCTGGAGGGCTGAGAAAGGTGCTGAAGAGGAGGCTAAGCCTGTTTGGGCAGAGAGATGGGGGGAAGCCTGCGCTAGGAAAACGGCCGCGCTGAAACACGCGTAGACCGCAGGGAGGGACAGGATAATTGGTCGACCTGAGGTTTCGGGGGTGCAGGTGGACAAGCCTGGCAGGGAAATGTAATTATACGGGCGGCCAAGTTGTCGTGCGGGAGAGCGGGCAGACTTGGTCTACTTGAATCTCTGCCGGGGGCGGTGGCCTGCTGACGGTAGCCAATACGATGGCGGTGCAGATTCCAGCACTGGCAGCATGTACTAGGACGACGACGGTGATGTTGGGCAAACCTGCTGTGCCCGCCGGCGGTGTGGCGCGTGCTGGCCACCCCCGAGCTAAAATTAGAGCCACGGCCTTAATCAGCTCCACGCTGACCTGCTCAGCCTCGCACCAGCCCTACCACCATCGCTGTTCCCGGCTACTGTGTATCCAAAAGGCGTGCTATTGTCATGTAGAGATGCAATGCTGGGGTTGTATCCGGTCCCAGAAAATTATCCCGCATCTATGAATGTACATGTGGCGGCGCTGATGGATGCTTTGCTTGTGCATGTCGTCTTGCAACCAGGGGCCGCACGGTACGTCAGCCATGTTTCCAAAGCTGCCCTTTGCACGCCAACGGCCCACTCAAGGGATCTTCACGTCTTCTGGAAAAAGGGTTGCGTGCATTGTCGCTGTTACGAACTGCAACATGGCCCGCGTCCTGTGAGTGGATCTCGAGTCGGCGCACATGCTTGTGTCTGGTGGTGCGGTGCATACTAACCAAGTACTCACCACAATGGCTGCCATTGAAGCATGGCCAGTCGCATGCCCCATCGTCCATCAGGGGCCCGCCGATTGCGACGACGCAGGAGCAGGGCCCACGCCATCAGGAGGTTTTTTCCCCGCTGTTAATGCCACGACTAATTACTGGATATGGATGCACCTACTATTGCTGCCGCTCTGGCGGGTCAAAAGCATGTGGGCTTCTTCCCTGGACCCTCAGACTCCGTGTCCGCCGGACCGCCCTGCGCCCACGGCGTACCCGGCCAAGCACAATCCTACACAGGCACTGGCCCACTGTACGGTACTGTCAGTTCAAGACATATTGCTCACACCCGAAATTCCGCCATCCCTTCTCACCGACTTGGGACGAATGTAGATATTTTACAACACACACGGCTCCAACGCCACGCCCGGCAGCCTGCGCCACTGTTGGCAGCAGCCGTGGCACCGAGAAGCATGGTTTGAGTATGCGGACAAAAAGCCCAAAAAGCACAAGCGAAGTTGCCTTTTACAGCCCATGACATCAGCCTGCGCGCCATGCCATGCGTTCCTTCCGTCTCGCGTCAGGAGCGCGCCTCACGCCTTCCGTCATCCGCGTCCCAACAAAAGGCCGACTGCGACCATTCCTGCTCTCACCCAGAGTAGTACAGTACTCTACACAGTGTAGTAGACATGACATCCAACCATCCCCACGTGACCGACATGCACAATGAACTCCCTCAACCACTCTCATGCCTTGGCTCGCCTCATCTCTGTCCCTGCGAATCCCATACCCCGCATATTTCATGCTTGTCACACCATTCCCGTCGTGCAACATCCTAAACACCATCCACTCGACTATCCGCTCACCAGCCCGGTACATACATACACCGACTTTTAGCACCCTTACCCCACATCGATCAAGTCGGCGCGAGCCGTCATGGCCTCAGCCGCACCCCTGGTGGACCTCCCAAGATCCAAATCAAAGTCCAAGTCGCAGCTGTCAGCATCTACACCCAGCCCTGCCAAGACAGCGGAAAAGGTTCAAGCACGGCCGGCCGTTGAGCACGGGCAGCTGCTGCCTCACCAAGATCAATTCGTCCATCCGCCACATGTGATACCGCGCCCAAGCTATCCAAATGTACATACCCTCGTCATTGTATGCTGCCATGCCATCTTCTTGCCCAACGCCGATACTCCCCATCTGCCGCTTTTCAGCCCTTATCAAGAATCCAATTGGCTTCTTGCTCCCTTCCAAAAGGCAGATGTCGCGGCTGGTAAACCGGGCGAGCACGAGACTTTTGTATCACACATCAAAGCCGGTATCGATGCCTTGACTGTGGGCACAGACGCTAACCACCCCATCTCAAGCATCCTAGTCTTCAGTGGCGGTGCTACCAAACGCGCAGACACGCTGAAAACAGAGGCCCGATCCTACTATCATGCCGCACTGGCAGCAGAACTAGCCCAAGGCCACTTGGGCGGTGGCCGTGCTTACACGTATGTGAGCCTGTTGCCCGACTATTTGTGCATGAAGCATACTTACGCCTACCCGTAGTCTTTACAACAAGGGATACATATTGCTGGAAGAGGAAGCCACCGATTCGTATCAAAACCTGTTATTCAGCATCTTGCGATTCAGGAATGCAACGGGCAGATATCCCAAGCAGATTCGTGTCATTACCCATGCTTTCAAAGCGAAGCGGTTCCTGGAGTTGCACGCTCCAACAATCAAATGGCCCAAAACTCGCATCCAGGTTCAGGGTATTGATCCAATCATGACACAAGACGCATTGACAAGTACCCTTCTGGGAGAAGAGAAGTCTGGATACGCAGCATGGAAAGAGGATCCCATGGGCACTGGCACTCTACTTGGCGGCAAGAGGCGACTACGAGGATGGAATGCTAGCACTGGAGCAAAGCATTTCAACAATTTGGAGGACAGCGTCAAGGAGCTGTTCCAAGGGGTGGTCTCTAATGAGCTACCTTGGATTGAGTGAACCAGATGGATCGATAGAACTTGTATATTACGACTGCTAATATACCATCGCATATCTCCTCACCGGAGCGACATATTCGGCCGTCCACAGAGCACTACGTCTTCTCCGAGTGGTATCCATCTGACATCTTTCAATCTGGTAACAGGCAGTCGGTCAGAACCTCCATCCGGACAAACCTGAACACCACCCTTCCCGAGCCATATCGGAGCTATGGTGACAATGACCGAGTCAACGAGCGAATATGCACGGCCCGGACCGAGCAAATCATTTATGACGAATCCGCCGCCCTCAATCATCACGCTTTGTAGACCTTGTTCTTTTAATGCATCCAGAATCATGTGCCATGAGGAAGTAGTCTCGCTCTTCTGTGCAGGTGACGGCTCCAAAAGCAGGAACTTGCCCCCCACGCTTTCCAGCACAGCTCTGCGAGCGTCGGATGGTGCCACATAAGTGATGATGAACGGTGCCTTTCCTTTACCCTCCCTGGCAAGCTTGAGCACCTTGCTCTCCTCACTGAACTGCCAGCGGCCCTGTGGATCAACAACAATCGGTCTGGGCTGCCCGATGAGGCCCTCACCACCATAACCACCCACACCTTCTATCCGGCAGTTCAAGGATGGATTATCGGCAACGGCCGTGCCTACTCCAATCAATATGGCATCGTGTTTGGAGCGTAGAAAATGTGTCATTGACTTGGACTGTGGCCCTGAAAGCGCTGTTTGCACTCCTGGCGCAATGGAAAGCTGACTGTCGAGGGAGGTGGCAAAGGTTAATGTGACAAAAGGCTTTTCCGTTGGTGTCTGAGGAGGAACTGGCGGCAAATAGTCTATAAACTGCTTGCTTTCTGCATCTGCAAAGTGTAGAGCTTCTCTTACGCGTGTCGGCGTCATGATGATGTAAGTAGAAGTATTGGAGATGCGATTCAAAGACTTGTATCTATGAAAAAATTCGTCAAGTTTCGAGGAATCGTGTACCGGCTACAAGCCAAAGTGACCAAAGCATGCGCCAGTGGACATGGTGAGAGAGTACACTAGAGCGCTGAGTCAGGGGAAGTGGCGCAAGAGACCGCGACCGACCCCACGTCAGGGCACGGCCGCCCGAACGTCGTGGCAGCCTGCCCGACTGTTCTTCCTCACTACCACACCAAGTTACATAGACGTATTTCCTTTGGCGTTTGTGCTTCTGTAGCCCTTTGCTTCTTTTCTGCTACCTGAATTTCCCCACACGTCAGCGAGCCCATCCAGCCCATCGGTTCCACCGCCTCCCGCCGCTCTCCCACGCCTCTTAGCCCACGCGACCGACTCAAAGGCAGTAGCCAGTAACCCCATACAATACCGCCGAGATGATGAAAATATGGTCTATGGTACGATTATACACAAAAGAGGCTTGCGCGTGAGGCTTGTGGGCATCGTCAGATACTGACAGACTTTCTACAGAAGAAACAGCAGCAGCAAGACGAGGCTGCGGCTGCTGCGTCAAGCAAGAAGAAAAAGGTGACTCCGGCCCAACTGCGCACACAAAAAGGTACATGATGTTCGGAATCCGCAGAGTAATAGGCGCGTGGCTAACGCGAACCAAGATCTCGAAGAGTTGTCCCTCGGCACGACAATGAAGACGCACTTCCCCAACCCAGACGATATCCTCAACTTCGAACTCACAATTGACCCCGACGAGGGTATGTACAAGGGCGGCCGCTTCAAATTTGACTTCAAGATCAACCAGAATTTCCCACACGACCCGCCAAAAGTCAAGTGCACACAAAAGATCTACCACCCTAACATTGACCTTGAGGGCAACGTCTGCCTGAACATTCTACGAGAAGACTGGAAACCCGTGTTGAACCTGAATGCGGTTGTTGTTGGGTTGCAGGTATGTGGTTCAGGGTTCTTTAGAGCGTGGCTACAACTAACGGGCGCAGTTTCTCTTCCTTGAACCAAACGCTTCAGATCCGTTGAATAAGGAGGCTGCAGAAGACCTCAAGGCGAACCGAGAAGACTTCAAGCGTAACGTGCGCGCGTCGCTGGGTGGTGGCACAGTCAAGGGACAGAGTTTCGACCGCGTACTCAAATGAGACACATGATATATCTGCAGGGCTATCCTACATCCCGCTGCGCAAGTGCCCAGCGCTCTTTCATGGGAGACTATATTGATGAGACACGACATGACATGGGGAGTTTGGTGCAAAGTGAGAGGCGAGAGCAGTTGCAGTCTGAGAAGGATCAAGGGCATGGGCATGTGAAAATGTAGGGGACAGCATGTATATGACATGGCATGTCTAGGAAAGGCGGAACAGCTTTTGGGCGTATGTAGTTGTTCGAAATTTTATACCAATCTGACTGGGAGTTCATGACAAAGACTGTATCATTCTCAACGCACTTGTTGCAATTTTCGTGCGGGAAAACAATGCAGTGGCGTGGCAACAGTGTTTACTTGGGGACATTGCATCACCATGCAGACTTTGTGTGCCGTCAGCTTAGTTCCTTTCCGGATAGAACACGAGAGCTCTGTCTAGCCCACTGCTGCACGGTACCCAAGACAACTACGTGGCTGGCAAACGCTGTACGCAGTAGAGTATGATAACGATAGCACATGCAGCCCCTAGTGAGCACTGTCTATCTTTCCGGTGAAATCATGTGTATGACTGTGTTACGGAGCGGTTCCCACCATATGAAGCGCTGTCGGAGACACGCATCTCTCCCCGAAGACCCCCCACCACCCCTGCTAGCAGCCCCGCACCGGACATATCCCGACGTCTCATTGGCCAACGACGCGAATGAGCGGGTGTCAGTGGTCTGGGGCAGCGATTATCGGCGTGGTCTAAGCTCCAGACTTCGAAATTCAAACTGTGGTCATAGTCGAGCCCCAAAGTTTAAAAGCCATCCATCCCCGCCCAAGATTTCTGACCCCAAGATACCCCAATCCACATACACACACATTCACAATGGCCTCAAGACCCGTCACCCGTGCCCTCCGCCAATCCGCCCGCCAATTGGCGGCTGCTCCAGCCCAGAAGAGGACCTTTGTCTCTGCTCTGAGTGCTGGTGCAAAGAAGGCTGCTCCCCGCGCTGCCGTTACCAGCCAGTTCCAGCAAACTCGTGGTGTCAAGACCATTGACTTTGCCGGTACCAAGGAGACTGTCTACGGTAGGTTTCAATTGGATACACAATACAAGTAAACGATAGCTGACGATGCCAAACAGAGCGTGCCGACTGGCCAAAGGAGAAGCTTTTGGTAAGTCTATTAATATGTCAATTACATTGACTTATCAGCTATGAGAGCTCCAGCTAACAATCAAACCAGGAATACTTCAAGAACGACACCCTCGCCCTCATCGGCTATGGCTCCCAGGGCCACGGCCAGGGTCTCAACATGCGTGACAACGGCCTCAACGTCATCGTCGGTGTACGGAAGAACGGTACTTCATGGAAGGAGGCCGAGCAGGACGGCTGGGTTCCCGGCAAGAACCTCTTCGACATTGACGAGGCCATTGGCAAGGCCACCATTGTCATGAACCTCCTCTCAGATGCCGCTCAATCCGAGACCTGGCCCGCTATCAAGCCCCAGCTTACCAAGGGAAAGGTAAGTCCCGACTTCAAGAATCCAACGAGAATCCATCTAACAGATCCAGACTCTCTACTTCTCCCACGGTTTCTCTCCCGTCTTCAAGGACCTCACCAAGGTCGAGGTTCCCAAGGACATTGACGTCATCCTCGTTGCCCCCAAGGGCTCCGGCCGTACCGTCCGCACTCTTTTCCGTGAGGGCCGTGGTATCAACTCCTCCATTGCCGTCTACCAAGACGTCACCGGCAAGGCCAAGGAGAAGGCTGTCGCCCTCGGTGTTGCCGTCGGTTCCGGATACATGTACGAGACCACCTTCGAGAAGGAGGTCTACTCTGACCTTTACGGCGAGCGTGGTTGCTTGATGGGTGGAATCCACGGCATGTTCCTCGCCCAGTACGAGGTTCTCCGTGAGCGTGGCCACAGCCCATCTGAGGCCTTCAACGAGACCGTTGAGGAGGCTACCCAGTCTCTGTACCCCTTGATCGGTGCCAACGGCATGGACTACATGTACGCCGCCTGCTCCACCACTGCTCGTCGTGGTGCTATCGACTGGAGCAAGCGCTTCAAGGATGCCCTCAAGCCTGTCTTCGATGACCTCTACACCTCCGTCGAGAACGGTACCGAGACCAAGCGCTCTCTCGAGTACAACTCGCAACCCGACTACCGTGAGAAGTACAACCAGGAGCTCAAGGAGATTGACGACCTTGAGATCTGGCGCGCCGGAAAGGCTGTCCGCTCTCTCCGCCCCGAGAACGCCAAGTAAACAGCTTGGTTTGTTGAGGAGCCATGTCAGCGGGTAGAATAGAGTGTTATTGTGTAGATATTTATGTCTTATGTATGATCATGGAATATTACGGCGTCGGTTGTGGTCCTTTGGTTATAGGACCGGGAATTCTTTTCCATCAAAAGAGAGGAAAGGGAAAAGGGAAAAGGAAAAAAGGAAGCTTAGTCTGAAGGAAAAGCGAATATGATACCTTTTACACGACCACTTTTGTTTCTCTTTCTGTTCATGTGTGTGTTTTTGTCTTTTGGTATGAAATGAAGTGTTGTTGACAAGCTAGTATGCCGTTATCTCCCTTGGCAACAACAACCTACATAACAAGCCCAGCCAAGCCCAAAGAAAAGAAGTGCCAAACTCGCGTATGGTAATCAGGCTTAATCCCACCACCACCACTACCAACACACGGAACTTGCCGTACTTACAATTTGTACGAATCCGTACTCATCTTGCGAAGCCACCATGTATACAATCCCACACATATTTATCATTCCCACCATTCCTTCGTCCCTCTACTACGAACCGGAAATAAAGAAGCCACAATATACTACATTAAACCAGCACCACTCCCTCCAATCGCGCACCAACGTTGGTTTTGTAAACACACTAACAGTGCAGGAAGGATTGGACCCGAGTTTCAGCACTTTTTTATCTTTATCTTTGTTGGCACGATAAAGGTGCACGTGGTGAATCAACTTGCAGCTGCAAATACTATAGTGAGGAAGCGGATTGATTGATTGTATCTGTTATCGTGTTGAGTATCTACAGTACCTCCGCGCACGGGCCAATAGGCGGTGACGACGCCTTTGCCAGT